CCCTAGGTGCGTGACGTCATTTATGGACGGGCCCCCGTTCAAGTCACCCGCCCCTGCCTTCAAACAGTTGGCTTTGAGCCCCTGGTGCCAAAGCAAAGGAAAATAATTATCTTCACATTCATCTTCCTTCGGTGAAAACCAAGAATATGAATTCCTGCGGTCACGAAAGTTTTAAGTCAAAGTTATCTTCAACTTGTAACACGCACAGTATCCACTCACGCTTCAAGAGAGAGAGAGGGGGGGGGGGGCGGCTCAGAGGTACGAGGAACCGCGGACAGGTAACCACGCGGTTACCTGGCGCCAACAAATACTACCCAGACTCTGCGGTCCTCTATACAGGGTGCGTCAAAAAAATGTTAACACTTATATGGATGGGGCTATCGTTTTTAATGGAAAAATGAACGGATAAAACTGGTCAACAAAATTTTTTTTTTTTTTCTGGCCTGGACTTTTGCAGCTGTTTTAGATTAATTTCAGGGTGCTGATTCCTAATCTGATCTCAGATTTGCTCTATCACATCTCATTTTTATGTTATCGGCATATCCCATTTTCATTGATTTTACCCGAAATTAACTCTGTCACTTATGATTGCAAGTTGTTGCGAGTCAGTGACTGCTTTAGTGTTAAAATATGGTGCTGTATTTTTAGGATAGTGTGTTTATAATATCATTTTATGTAGATATCCACATTTATTTAATATTTTTCTTCTGCAGTTTTTATTGAAAATGCTATATTTGATATCTCAAAAACCTGATGTGATAGACAAAAACTGATGCCAGATTTGGAATCAGCACCCAAAAATTGCCTTAAAATCGTTGGAATACCTTATGCCAGAAAAAGTGTGTTGACCAGTGTAATACTACACTGTAACATGATAATAAATGTATGTTTAAATAGCTTCAAAAAGTCAAAGATTCTTCCACTTATACTCTTGGTTCTTTCGGTAAAGTCACGCAGGTAAAGAAACTAATAAATAGAATAAAAATAAATTATACTTAGTAAAAATGTTCTTGCTGTGGTGTTCACACCTGATGATGATTGCTTGTGTTGCAATCGAAACGTCGTGATTTAATTTAATTTATCTTTTATTTTTATTTTATTTATTCTTTTTTTTACTTACGTGACTTTACTGAAAGAACCCAGAGTATGGATCCTTGCAGTCACGAAAACTTCAAATCTAGAAGTCTCCAACTTGTTCACCATCATTGCCAACGCGTGCCTGGAATCTTTTTCCAGGTGGTCTCCAGAGCCCGGAGGCACATTGCTTGTGGTGTTGCAAATTCTCAGAAGTGTTCACATTGTTGTGAAGCACCCTGGATTTTAAGGCGTTGTCGGGCAATTCGTGAGCGTTCGCACGTGGTGAAGAAACCGGAGCACCCAGCAAAACCCAGCCATGCAAGGGGGGGGGGGGGGAAACATTTTTCCGTACAGATGGAACAGGTGGAGTCCACATTTGCTGTACTGCATTCTCCCGGCAAGCCAGGTAAGGGCACCTTGACGGCCACGGGAAGGGAGTTTCACAACATTGTGTGTCCCTCGCCCCCACAGTGCTGGATTACAGGCGTGCATAGTAGCCACCAGCGCACGACAAAAATAAAAATACGTTTCTCACGCGCGTTGATTCTGATGTGCCCCGATCCAAACGACGAATGACTCAACCACTGCACCAAACGAATGACTTTGACCGTGTGCTCGATCCGTTGTTGGCATAAACCATCACGCGGACTCCGATCATCCTCGCAACGGCGACTTTCGGCTCGGCCGTCGAACAAAGACGGTCACCGCAGCCGGCGCACGCTTTCGGATGCGCTTGTGCTGGTCGTCTGGAAACACTCTTCCGATATTGGGTAGCCGCCGGAGCCATGCACGTACGCATCTAGATTGAACACTTCATTTCTTTAGAAGCAGCAGCGGCGGCGGCGGCAGCAGCAGCAACCCCGTGTAACTGGTTGGGCGGGGTTTTTTTGACGACGTGACTTTTTTTGTCTTCATCGGACCCAACATCACCCAACCGCGCGACACAATCAGCGCCCACCGCCCCCCCTCCAAACACCGCGCGCGATGACTGCAGCGGTCTTGGCTGAATTACGCGATGAGTTATATTCTCCCTTCAATTGCCCTTTGGTTGGCGTATATATTCGCATCCACTCGTATGTATTGCATGAACGTTGACCTTTTGCACCGCACGTGACCAACCGTGCTGATCGTAGGTGCGGCGGTCATTTGTGTTTACATTTGTGTGCCATGAAGAAGGGTCGTTGCCTATGATATTTTTCCTCTTTTTTTTAAGGCCACGCAACGTTATTAACGAATGCGTTGAGTGTTTCTTTATTGAGGTTCTTTGGCTAAGTGTGTTTTGTCATAATCGTGATGAATGCGTAAGGGTAATAAGATCAAGATGAATCCCGTGCTTGCCCATGCCACTGCTGGCCAAAGGGTCTCCACTCGAGAGGGCTCTAGTGGGCTTGAATCTGGAATTTTTTTTATAATAAAGGGGGTTTTTTGGGGTCAGATCGCGTAAATATTAATGTGTCCGTAATATAAATGTGCCCAACACAGCGAATTGGCAAGGTTTGTCGCGTAAACAAGACGTGCCGATTAGTTACCACTTCAGCACACCGGTTGCGTGTTGGAGAGTAAACCCGCGACATTTACAATTCGACTACGGCGTTTCGCCGATGATTAAAAAACTACCAGCTTCATCAGGCGATGAGCCAAAATTGTATTTTGGTCTACACTTTGACGCTGGCCAGAGACGTCTCGGAAGACGTGGGACGCAGCCGCACTTTATCCTACCACACGCGGCCTTAATGATCAACACATTTGTGGGGCACCCATCAGTGGCGAGTGATGCCTGAACTAGTCCCTGGGCTCGGCCTTTTACCCATCCCTCCCTCCCCCTCCCGCACTGACCAGCGAGGTGAAATGTGACAAACAAACCCCCTGTAACTAACATAGCACGGTGAAGCTTTCATCCTTTGTTTTGGGGGTTCCATTTTATTGGTGTGAGCCTGCGTGTGTGTGTGTGACCCCTGGGTAAAGGGCGCTTTCGAAGTGTAAATTATTGTTATTACCCAGCAGTGAAATAACAAGAGGGCTCTAATTTACGATTCGTACAATGCATTGTATCCGTCAGCCCATTAGCTACGATGTGACTGGACGCATTTCCACCGTGGTTCGCTTTATTTTTAGCCAATAATTACAGCTTCACACCACCTCAATCGCTTCTTTTCCAGGCATTTTATCCACCGGTGCTTCGTCTCATCACCAAGTACGAGATCCTTTCCGGAGGTTCATCCTCCTTATTAAAATAATTGTACACCGTGGTTAATACAACACGGAGGTCCCGTAAAAAAGAAAAGTCCAGCTCGTTGTAGCGTGGGGCCCTGCCGAGCGTGCACAACTTTACACAGCAAAAGAACTTGGCCCGGTGCCCCTGGCAGAGCGGCTCGTAGGAGAGAGTCGGCGAAAGTCGACGCCAAAAGTTTAATTTGCTGCAAAGAAAAATCGACTCCGTGCGATGGCTTGCAAGCGTCGGAGACTTTCTTAGCGCGAGGCAAATTGCATCCCCCCCTCCGCCACCGCTTCTGTCTCTCGCGCGCGTGCTCTAAAAATAAACAGAGAATATTCTTTGGCAAACGCCCTCGGCCAAGCCCTGGGGGAAGGGACACGGGCAGCCAGTGATGGGGGGCGGTGTGACACACATTCGGAGACACGCGTCAACACGACCCCGTTCCATCAGACACGTTGTTGCACCTATTACTATAAACTTTAATTTTTTATTTTACCAGGTAAGGCCCACCGACCTCTACAGCTCTTTTTCAGGAGCGACCTGGCTATCACAAATGAAAGGCTCAACGGAAGTGGCTTATCGCGTGGAAATTTATCGCAGCCAATATAGCCTAAACGCATGGATGTTGTTGATTCTAAATGTGGAGGGGGAAAAAAAATCGGGAGGACCCGGAGAAAAATCCACGTGGCCACGGGGGAGTGAAACAAGCAAACTACAAATATACAACAGGCGTCTCAGTCGGGATCGAACCCACGAACTCGTGCATATCGGGCAAGGGAGTTCACATCTCCTAGCCACCGTGGTGAGCTGCTCCCGGACGGTTTTTTTCGTGCGCGTGTCTTTTTTTTCAGGCGCGGGCCGCGATCCATCGTGGCCCATGTTGGCCTCTCGCATTGCCGCACACGATTTGACGTTTGGACCGGATTCCAAGTAGGTAAGGGGGCAAATGCGACGCGATCCAATCGTGTGGCACCGTGAATGCTGCACTGCAATGGGTGCTCACCCCCCCACCCTCACTTGGAACAGCGGTAGTGTAGCGGTTAGCGCTACTCTGCGCTACGAACCTGGCGACCCGAGTTCGATTCCTGCTCACGGCCAACACCGGTGACGATTATCTGAAGCAGTCCTGGGCATCACCTAGGTCTACTCAGCCTGAAATGAGTTCCTGGTGCGGTGTGTTAACATCGCCACTGGGGAGACAAAGGCGGTCGGGTGTGGTGCTGGCCACCCACACTCTCGTGTACCGTTCCGGCCTTCATAGGTGCTCGATAACAGCACTTGCCCCAACAGTCTGTTAATACTATACGGGGGATCTTTGTCTTTGTATGCGTGCTCTAGATACACCCACTACCCCCCACCCCACCTCGTTCAAATAATAGCGAGAAATTATATTATGAAATTCTAGAGAGTAAACGAAATGTATAATGTCCAACCCTCCACATGGCTCCCACCAATCTCAACGCGCGTATCAAATCTCCCTTGAGGCCCTCTCCCGTTGCAAGATGCGGAGCCACCGTTTGCCCTCGCCCGCTGAGAAGCCACCAGGAGGGTCATTAGACATCGGTGGTGGGGGGGGGGGGTTGTCTACGAATGGAATCAGCCCGTACCTTCACACGTTGAATAGCGCGTGAAAGCGATGACGGCCGCGCCAGTAGATGCAATAAGTGCGGTGGCCTCATCGCCGCGATGAAAACCGACGAAAACTCACCGGTGCCATTCGTCACTTCTCCGTTGGTCTCCTCGTCTGCGCCAAGCAGGTGCCCTTGCTGGACTCTTTCACCGTGGACCTGCAAATCAAATTACGAATCGTTGAGGCCACTCGCGCCGTGCCCCAGATAAACGTTGCAGCAACAGCAGCAGCAGCAACAACACCGAAGCTCACTGACAAAGCAAAGTCCGCTCTCAGCAGAGGCTCCAGTTTGAGCGTCCGCCGTTTAAATTCCGACATCGCGCTGAGCAAAGAGGCCTCGTTCTCGTCCCACTTTATCGCAATTCTGCAGGACACCAAAGCTACACGCGCGCGACGTCTCCCTCGTGTGTCACTTCCTTACCCCGGCTGGCGATGAGACGCCCATCGTGGCCTTCATCACCCCCCAAACCGACCACTGCAACTCTCCCATTTGTGCCCTCTCCATGTTCCTCACTTTTAATCTCCAGGTGATCAAACGTGTGATTGTCAGACTGGTCAACCGTACACGGGACCACATCTCCCCACGTCCTCCCAATGCAAGGCTGCATCAACGTCAGTGGCGCACTCGACATCTTCACAATTCTCCATGCACTTGTCCCTGCCTACCTCTCATCTCACACTACTCCCCTCCACGCACTCTCCTGCCTCTCCCCACTCATATCACTCTACTCCCCTCCACGCGCTCACCTACCTCTCCCCTCTCATCTCACTCTACTCCCCTCCACGCACTCTCCTACCTCTCCCCTCTCATCTCACTCTACTCCCCTCCACGCACTCTCCTACCTCTCATCTCACTCCCCTCCCCTCCACGCACTCTCCCACCTCTCCCCTCTCATCTCACTCCCCTCCCCTCCACGCACTCTCCTACCTCTCCCCTCTCATCTCACTTTACTCCCCTCCACGCAGTCTCCTACCTCTCCCTCTCATCTCACTCCCCTCCCCTCCACGCACTCTCCTACCTCTCCCCTCTCATCTCACTTTACTCCCCTCCACGCACTCTCCCACCTCTCCCCTCTCATCTCACTCCCCTCCCTCCACGCACTCTCCTACCTCTCCCCTTTCATCTCACTCTACTCTCCTCCACGCGCTCTCCTACCTCTCCCCTCTCATCTCACTCCCCTCCCTCCACGCACATCTCCTACCTCTCCCCTCTCATCTCACTCTACTCCCCTCCACGCACTCTCCCACCTCTCCCCTCTCATCTCACTCCCCTCCACGCACTCTCCTACCTCTCCCCTCTCATCTCACTCCCCTCCCCTCCACGCGCTCTCCTACCTCTCCCCTCTCATCTCACTCCCCTCCCCTCCACGCACTCTCCTACCTCTCCCCTCTCATCTCACTCTACTCTCCTCCACGCGCTCTCCTACCTCTCCCCGCTCATCTCACTCTACTCGCCTCCACACACTCTCCTACATCTCCCCTCTCATCTCACTCTACCCCCCTCCATGTGCTCTCCTACCTCTCCCCTCTTATCTCACTCTTCTCCCCTCCACGCTCTCTCCTACCTCTCCCCTCTCATCTCACTCTACTCCCCTCCACGCACTCTCCTACCTCTCCCCTCTCATCTCACTCCACTCCCCTCCACGCGCTCTCCTACCTCTCCCCTCTCATCTCACTCCACTCCCCTCCACGCAATCTCCTACCTCTCCCCACTCATCTCACTCTACTCCCCTCCACGCACTCTCCTACCTCTCCCCTCTCATCTCACTCCACTCCCCTCCACGCGCTCTCCTAGCTCTCCCCTCTCATCTCACTCTACTCCCCTCCAAGCAATCTCCTACCTCTCCCCTCTCATCTCACTCTACTCCCCTCCACGCACTCTCCTACCTCTCCCCTCTCATCTCACTCCACTCCCCTCCACACGCTCTCCCACCTCTCCCCTCTCATCTCACTCTCCTCCCCTCCACGCACTCTCCTACCTCTCCCCTCTCATCTCACTCTACTCCCCTTCACGCTCTCTCCTACCTCTCTCCTCTCATCTCACTCCACTCCCCTCCACGCACTCTCCTACCTCTCTCCTCTCATCTCACTCGACTCCCCTTCACGCACTCTCCTACCTCTCCCCTCTCATCTCACTCCACTCCCCTCCACACGCTCTCCTACCTCTCCCCTCTCATCTCACTCTACTCCCCTTCACGCTCTCTCCTACCTCTCTCCTCTCATCTCACTCTACTCCCCTCCACGCACTCTCCTACCTCTCCCCTCTCATCTCACTCTACTCCCTTCCACGCACTCTCCTGCCTCTCCCCTCTCATCTCACTCTACTCCCCTCCACGCTCTCTCCTACCTCTCCCCTATCATCTCACTCTACTCCCCTCCACGCGCTCTCCTACCTCTCCCCACTCATCTCACTCTACTCCCCTCCACGCGTTCTCCCACCTCTCCCCTCTCATCTCACTCTACTCCCCTCCACGCACTCTCCTGCCTCTCCCCTCTCATCTCACTCTACTCCCCTTCACGCACTCTCCTACATCTCCCCTCTCATCTCACTCTACTCCCCTCCATGTGCTCTCCTACCTCTCCCCTCTCATCTCACTCTACTCCCCTCCACGCACTCTCCTGCCTCTCCCCTCTCATCTCACTCTACTCCCCTCCACGCTCTCTCCTACCTCTCCCCTATCATCTCACTCTACTCCCCTCCACGCGCTCTCCTACCTCTCCCCACTCATCTCACTCTACTCCCCTCCACGCGTTCTCCCACCTCTCCCCTCTCATCTCACTCTACTCCCCTCCACGCTCTCTCCTACCTCTCCCCTATCATCTCACTCTACTCCCTTCCACGCACTCTCCCAGGACTCATCTCACTCTACTCCCCTCCACGCTCTTGGGCAGTGGGAGCAAACTCACACTGCGCAGACAAACAATCACCGTCACTCACCTGCTTCCCTTCCTCCATTGCAAATGTTGTAAATCCACAACATTTGCAATTATCTCCCAACACACCGGTTAGTGCTGTGCTAGTAACGAATTGGCACGTTCTGTTTACGTGACAAACTTTAATAATTGGCTGTGTCGGGTGGTGGCGGGTTTAACGACACATTATATTTACGCGATCTAAACCCCACCTCCAAAAAAAACCTTTATAATTGTTGTAAAGCGCCTTGGACCAAAGGAGCTACATCGGGGGGGGGGGGGGGGGTCGGCAACCAAAAGAAAATATCAAGAAGAGACATTTATTGTGTTTGTTCCGAATTCGGTACCAACACACGCACACAAACAAACCCCTCGCTCAATATATCAAGAGCCGCAATGCACTTGAATACGCACACGCACCATCACGCCACGAAACAGCCCCCCCCCCCGTAACAACACCCCCCCCCCCCCTGGGCGAGTGTCAAGAGGGACGCGATGAGAGAAAGAGCTGCTGCTGGGCCAGCGGCTTGATGGAACGCTCCACGGCTCAATGCGGGGAAGGGGTGTGGGGGCTCAACCCGCGTGGCACCCTCTGAGGGTCGCCGTGACCCTCGTGCCGCCACCTTTGCTGTGGGGGAGGGGGGGCGCATTTATTTAATTATTTGCGTCTCTTACATTGCTTTCATGGCTTTATTTTGGTGATGTCGAAAACGTTTCTTTGTTTGGCCATGTTTGTTTGTTGTAGTACGGAGTTGATGGCTTTAATCTAAGTTGTCTTCTGGTTATTGTTGTTGTTGTTTGACTTGCATCCCACTGGGATTTTTGCACACAGTGTTGGTGTACGATGCTTTTTTTTCCGGAAGACTTTGCAGTTTTTTCCTGGATTTTTCTGTTTGCGCATAGTCAGTTTAGGATGTTTTCTTGTTCATGTTTTTGTTTTTTGTTTGTTGCGGTTGCACCCGATTCAAGAGCCGAATGGCTCACAGGGCTATACCAAATAAATGAAATTGAAAAAAAACTGAAAAAAATGTTGAACTGGACTTCCATGGTGAACTGGACTTCCATGGTGAACTGGACTTCCATGGTGAACTGGACTTCCATTTTTGCACCAGATTCAAGAGCCGAATGGCTTACAGGGCTATACCTAATAAATGAAACTGAAACTGTTATTCCGTTTTGTGAACGAGGGCGTGGGGGGGGGGGCGTTGTGCCGTTCCACTCGCGCTGGGGAATATTTATAATTTTTAAATGTTGCACGTGTACACGTACGGCCCGTTTGTTTGGATCCGCTACTGTCACACACGACCATACTTCAATACCGCTGGGCGGTGCATGTTAGACCAAGGCTTTGCTTCGCTTTTTTTGTTACATTTCAATATTTACGTTGAACGAAAAGCGTGTGAATATGGGAGTCTCGCAAACAACGGTAGGCTCGAGCGAAATTTTACGAAGCAAGAATTATCCATGCGATTGAAATGCAGAATCACAACCAGTGCTAACACAACAACGATAACAACATTCAGTATTGAGACTGGATAAATCCGATGAGCTATGAAGCTCACAGGCGTCCAGTACATGGAGCGTCGATCCGTTGCACGGATGGCTGGCAGCGTGACCCACCCTGCAATGAGAGGCGATGTTTCTGTGCTCATGAACGCAAAGTTACACCGGGGGGGTGGATTTCAGTGAGGCTTTGGATCAAGAAAAAAGAAAGACGTACCTCTTCTCGTGACGTCCTAATTTCTTAAATCTTCGCGGTTGTCTTTTAACGGCGCGTGTGTTTTGGGCGCACGCGGAGAATGCGTGCAACCATGGTTTATTTCGGTGCCTACCGCACTGAATTAACGAATAAGCGAGAAGCACGGACGCCACCCAATACGGGTGGAAAGGATGGGTTCTTTGCCACTGTTAATGGGATTACAGAATTTGCAGCTGTTTAGGCACATGAATAATAGATTTGGCAAACTATCATCAAACAAAACATCCATTGAGAAGAAGACGAATCCCTGCAGTCACGAAAGCTTTAAATCGAAAATTAAATCCATTGAGTTGACTAGAAAACTAAGGGTTCACAAGGAAGACTTGGGGAGTCGAAATATCGCAAACTGGATGCGCTTAGACCACAAGCAGCCGATCTATGAGATTGTGAAAGCGGCCGAGGTGAAGGGAGATCACATCCAGAGCTGCCAAAACGGTGCCCCCAACGATCCCATTATCATTAAACCGGTCATGGGAGACGGCTGGGAAAATGGACGAATTCTCAAGTCGGGAGAGTGACAACACAAACGGCCCATCAATTATTCCATGCACTGCCAGCCAGGGACCCAGAACCGAAGTCGAAGAGCAATTAAGGTGTTGGTTCCTGCGTTGGGTCAAGGAAGTGCCGCACGCGAATTTACCGCTTCTTCCAGTCCAGGCTCAAGAACTGCCTTTTATTTTTTATCAATTAAAAAAAATCTAATCGCATCATACGTTATATACCAACTGCACCTTGATTTCAAACAAAATGCATGTACCACTCGGTGTGGCCCCTGTGATGAGCTTCAAAATGCCTGCACGGCGTTTTGTGACGAAGTGTGCATTTCTATGCCCTTGTGTATATATGTGCGAACTCACATTCGTAAATAATGTACGCGTGATATTTCACTTCTCAATATCAATGCGTTTGTTTACATGGCGCGGCTGAGGTTTGTGTTTTTCACGCCTTGCTTTTGCACACACTGCCTGCGATTATATTTTTGCACCACTTCGAGTGCTGTTGTTTTTTTTACAAATCATACGGAATAACAACGAATTCCAGCCCTTGCCAATCCACCGTTGGATGTAGGTCTGCCGTTGGCCACGTCATTTATGGGGGGGGAGGGATTATTTTTTAGTTTCACCCATACTTCACCGCACGCCGGTCAGTGCGGGTTGGTGGAGGGGGAAGTCCAGGATCTGTCCCGATATCACTCGCCACCGATGAGAGCGAAGGCTTCGAAAATGAAACTCGGTTCACTGGGTTCATAGCAGCGGCGCGCGGACTGTAAATTCCCCTTCCCCTCCCCCCTGAGGCTTTTCTCTTGCAAAAGGGGGACGTGTTCTTCTCTCAACGAGCTCTCGCTCGGTAACAAACGAAACAACGCGCAGCATTCCCTCGTTCACGAACGCGCCGTCCGCGATGTTGGTTATCTGTGAATCGCATCTGGAATTCTGCACGACTGCGTCCATCTCGAGACGAAGAGAGAGAGAGAGATATAAATAAAGTGATGAGATAAAGAGATGCGAGACGCGAGATAGAGACGACTTCTTGAAGCTCTGGAAGCATCTGCAGATGTTGCGCGTGCGATATTCGCAGGCCAGGATCACCCCCAACATGTGCTATCCACGAGCAAATCCGGAACGTAACCCTCGCGAATAACGAGGGCGCACTGTCCACGTTATTTTTGGAGTACCAAGGGACTTGCATTATATTTGGGACGGGACTCACCGCGTTGGTGAGTACCACGTTCACGCCATTTTCTTTACAATCCTCTGCCCTGGAAGACAACAGAACAAAAGCAAGGCACATTGGTTGAGACGCTTTCGGTGAAGGAATTATTGCAAGTGTTTTACTGGTAGGAACCTCCTGGTTACACCAGCCCACAGGGGATTATTGTGTCCGTCGTGCAGGGAGGGGCTGGGTGAGGAGGGAGGGGAGGGTGGGGAGGGGCTGGGTGGGGAGGGACTGGGTGGGGAGGGAGGGGCTGGGTGGGGAGGGACTGGGTGGGGAGGGGCTGGGTGGGGAGGGGCTGGTCACCCCGTGGTGCCCTTATAAAACTCAACGTTAAACCTACTCACGCCGGCTTGTGCCCGCCCTCACAGTCGGGTATATTTGCGGAATACACCACGTCGCCGTTGACCCTGGCCATTGACCGAGCAACCTAACGTTCCTACCAGCTCCCTCCGCAGGAATGTGTTTTCGTTTGAGCTGCTGTACACCTGCGGTTTTGTAAACATCTGACAGAGAAGATAGCGTTGCATTGTCAATGAACGATTGCAATTCACGTTTTGTTTCATGATTGCGTCACGATTAAGTTTGGCCCACCTGTGTGTCAGCGGCTGCACTGAAACCTCGTCACAGTGTTCCCACTGTGTCGGGTATCCCTGTGCATCACTACAGGCACAAACATTTTTGTTGCCAAGTCAATGCCAGTTGAGCATAGCACCACACCGTCACTTCACGGTGCAGATTCCGTAAATAACGTTAACTTTACATTTCGATTTAAAGCTTTCGTGACTGCAGGGATTCATCTTCTTGGTTCTTTCGGTAAAGTCACGTAGAAGGGAAATAATAAAATAATAAAATAAAACGCAATAAAATAATTCGCACGACGTTTCGGCCACAACGCAAGCAGCCGTCCTCAGGTGAAGAACAGGTCTGTCGGGAAGACAGCGTTTCCCTTCTACGTGATTTTACCGAAAGAACCAAGAAAACGTTACCTTTTTTTAAATTACCACCCCACGAAATGCACCGATGCATTTGCGGACAATGTCGACCAAATTTCTGCGTAGTTTTTTAGTGCTTTTGCATCTCGCGTTCAATTTTTTGGCAGAACCCCTGAAAAAGAGAACGTTGTGATTTCACGTTCGTAGGCTTGCAACAGTGACAGGGCAGCAGTCCTGTTTGACGCAGGACATCCCGAAACCTCTCACCGTCAAGCACTGAGACAGCAGTAGAAATGTGGGGGGGGGGGGGGGGAGACAATCTCTGTGCAGACAGAATGATGGGCAATGTGTGCATAGCAGAAAGAGACAACGAGCAGCTTAGCCAGGCGATTAGCCAGAATCGTGAACAAGTCCTCCTGTAGTGGTATATTTACGCGATCTAACACAACAACAACAACAAAATTATGGATGATACCGGTCGCGAAAGCCTACGTGTTGCAGTGGCTCCTGAACTCGTGCTCAGTGAAACCTAGTGTGTGCAGGAGCGTCGGGTTACAGCGGGCACATGTGCAGCATGCTCGCTCTCTCTCTTGCGGTGATCTAAAAAAACAGGATCGACCTTTCCCTCACCTCCTGCACAACAAAATAACTTTTGTAAGAACTCCAAGGAAGCGGTCGAAAAATGAAAACCCATCAGCGGGGCCATTCCGACCACATGATGTATGAGCACACACAATAGAACGATTTAAAAAAGAAAGAAATGATTGCACGCGGTGTGAAATTAAGTCACGCATTGCGTACATTTCATATAAACGCCACAAATTATGGACCCGGTTAAGCGACCTCCTCTTAGGGACAATGCCCAAACACGCCAGGCGTCAACCCGCTGTCACAACCACCCGCATATACATCTCGCCCCGGGGCAGCAAAAACACACGCACACATATGTATACTTTTGTACGTGTTTTAATTTTGCCCATTTCGCTTCGCCCAATGTGGGGTTGCTTTTGCAGCTCTCCGAAGCGTTTTCGGGTCGTACTGCTGTACGTGTTTTATTTTTTTTCGGGAACCGATGTCCGACGTTTTGTTCCAGAAAATTCATTCCAAGGCGCTCCCAACACGCGGAGTGAAACATTGGACGTCAGAATCAGAAGACGTATTTATTCCGGAGAAATCCGATGAGCTATAAAGCACGTTTTCACAGACGTCAAGCTCGGGGCGGGTAAGGACGTTGCAACAACAAACGACACAAAAAAAAAACACGATGGTCGTGAAAAGTACGAGAAAGGTGACCACATCACCCATACGCGTACAAATGAAGCTAAACCATCCCCACCCTTTCGATTTAAAGCTTTCGTGACTGCAGGGATTCATCTTCTTGGTTCTTTCGGTAAAGTCACGTAGAAGGGAAGTAATAAAATAATAAAAATAAAACATAATAAAATAATTCTCATTATATTATTTTATTATGTTTTATTATTATTTTATTACTTCCCTTCTACGTGACTTTACCGAAAGAACCAAGAAGATCATCCCCACCCTACCAGGCAAAGCCCGCCGAGGTGTTTTTCAGAAGCGACGTGGCCACAGATGATAGCTCGACGTGACTACGATCAGAGCACGCGGGGACACAGATGGGGGGAGCTGTGCAGATGCGACCGTGACAATTCGACACAGCACCGGTGCTGCTGCTTCTATCAGCCGAACATTAGTGGGCATTTGGTCGGCTTCCGAGCCTGTCGTGGCTTGCCCTGCCACGCACACAAACGTCTGGCTGACGGATAATTCTATCGGTGACTCGGTAGCGTGGGATTGAGCACCCGGCCATCTGCTTTGATCGTGTTTTGTATAAATAACTGCACCACAAAACCACACTGCGCTGCCTCTGATGGATTTTAATCTCGGCGAAGTTCGCTTGAGAATTCATTCGCCACGCAGATTTGCCCAACGTGTTGTGCGAGCGCGTCTGGGAGAGAGTGGGTGTGTGTGTGTGCCTCAATTGAGTACCTGGTGCGATGTGTAAAATAATTGCGACTAGGGAGACAAAGGCGGCCGGGTAGTGGTGCTGGCCACCCACCACCTGGTAGCGCCGTACTGGCCTTCATAGGTGCTCACGAACAGCACTTGCCCCAACAGTCTGTTAATACTTTACGGGGGATTTTTGTCTTTTGTGTGCATTTGTGCAAGATATGCAGGTGGCCCATACAATTGTCAACAACCAGAAGTAACAACTTGGCCACTCTGGCACATATCGAGTTCGTGAAAGAGCTGATGGCTTTGCAAATAAGAATTGACGTTTGTGGCACAAAGTGGAGCTTTTTTTCTCCATCACGTTTGCTGAGCGCAGGCCCAAAACCCTAAGCGGTCAGCAACATCCAGCACTATTAAAGGTGTTTAAGGTGAGAGTTAACACTTTTTTTTATATAGGAATAGGAAATTATAGGAATTTATAGGTTATAGGAATTTGGAAAGAAATACGACGGGAGGGAATTCCAAAGTTAAACAGTTGCGAGGAAGAATGTCGACCTGCCTGGCGGTGGCTGAGGGCAGCACAGGCGAGACAAATCGGTCGGTCCGGTCGACCGAGTCCACAACGAGGGCCCTGGCGAATGCAACGGGTGAAGTCGACGGCAACGTCGCGGCCTTACCGATTGCAGCGGGCACACAGCGCGATCAGCAGCACCAACGACAAGGAGGCAGCGGCCACAATCAGGACGAGCGGCCACACGGGGAGGGTCACGGCGCTCGCAGAGTCCAGAAGCAACGGAGCCATGGCGGGACCTGCGGACGAAAACGGAGCGCAACAGCTGACGAGGGCCTCCAAAACAAAAGCAACCCCAACTCCGAGAATGCATTATGGTTGCAGGTATTGTGGTCTATGTAAACATGACTCCTTGTAAAAAAAGGTGCCAGTTTAGTTGCCAGATAGAAGGGTAAAAAAAACAATTATAATTTTTACTGGCAAATGAGGTTCTAATGGTGTAAATGCTTACCCCGAGCTCTCATACTCTGATGGTGCATTGTCTTTGAGTTGTGCGCCTTTTGGCGTCATCTGGTCCAACCCATGTGAGACTAGGCTCTAAGGAAAGCTGTCTCGGGTGTGGACCAATCAACCTCAGGGACGGTGCATACATTATCAGAGTTATGTTTTTTGTTTGCATTATGACTGCAGGTATTGTGGTCTATGTAAACATGACTCCTTGTAAAAAAGGTGTCAGTTTTGTTGCCAGATAGAAGGGTAAAAAAAACAATTATCAACGCACATCTCGTCAATATATCGGCTAAGCAGGCCCGGAGAAGAGTACGATACACGGGATGGTTAAAACTAAACAACAAAAATGCCTGGGAAGGTGTTTTTTTTTGGCCCGCAGAGATGGCAAGGAGATGGCAGTACATTGGCATTAAATAAATAAGGAGTCCGAATTTACAGCCCTTTGCCAATCCACTGCTAGGTGAGTGCCTTCCCGTGCCATGTCGGTGATGTGTGCGGGCTAGTGAAGGAGTTGAGGGGAGAGATGGGGGGGGGGGTGGAGCCCAGGTTCCATTCAGATGCCACTCGTCAGTCGTGTCTGGAAATGGGGTAATCAGGTTGAGTGCGTGAAGCACTCCGCCACTGATGTCAAGACAAGAAGGTCTCGGGCAGCGGTTCTTAACCGGGGGTACGTGGCAATGTCCCAGGGGGGGTACGTGATGTGATTTATAAACGTGTGAAATTATATCGTACGCGAAGAGTCGTTGGTGAATAATCGTATATGAATATGCAAATATGAAATAACCACGATACAATGTAAATCCATATGGTAACCTAGTACGGTATAAAAACATATTCTTTGGTTTTTTCGGTAAAGTCACGTAGAATAAAAAGAATTATCATACAAATAAAATAAAAAATAACCACGACGTTTCGATCGCAACACAAGCGGTCGTCCTGATGTCGGTGATGTGAATTTGTTTCATACTCATAGGTTTTTTTCGGTAAAGTCACATAGGTAAAAAGATATTAAAATTAAATAATAATAAATGAAAATACATCAATTAAATCACGACGTTTCGGAGGCAACACAAGTCTCCGTCTTCAGGTGGGACCGTCACAGCTAAATTTACTGTATCAAGTGAATTTGTTTGTGATGTCCTGCCGAAAAAAGGAAGAAAAAAATGTTTAGGTGACGTTTCAGGCGATGACCCTTCTTCATCGTGTCTAGAGTGGCCACAGATAGAGGCCTGCAATTCCAAGCCCCAGCCACTGCTGCCGTAAGGGCCACCACGAAAGGGAGCTCTAGAGAGCTCCCATAAGAGAGTGTATTTGGCCTAATCTTCCTCGCTGGCCAGACGTCTTGGAAGAGGTGGGGGTGTGGGGCGGTACTCACACTTTACCCCACCACATACAATCTGCCGAACAACTAACTGGTACTCGTTTATGCTACTGGGTGGACAGATGCGGGGGGCAATTTGATAAACAAAAAACTTGCTCCATTATTTCACGGAGGTTGAGATGTTAACTACCTCGTCTAGTACACAGGAGGTCGTGGGTTCGATCCCGATCCTGATGCCATTTAGGCATCGAACCCGGGTGGCTGGGCTCACGTCGTGGTGCAGTAGCACAACGACACGCGGGAAATGCAAAGCAGATACGAAGAGGTTAACCGAACAAAAAAAAAGAGGGCCAGTGAAAGGGGGAGCGGCATCTACAACACAGCAACGAAATCAGACACCTGGCTTAATTATATCCAGCGAATGCCAGCGGTCAATCCAGTGAGTTCACTGACACGGCTTTGCTCGCCTCTGCGAAGTGTCGAGTTTAACACCCGGCTCCCTCTTGACTCACTCGACGGGACCCAGGGAATGCCACCAGACCTTCGAGAGGAGGGGTTTGAGAAGGAGCAAGTGCGTGACAAATGTGGAACAATCAGAGCTGCTACAAATGCCTCGACTGAACGGTTTATACCCAATGCGTCTCTTGTCGCAAAGAAAGAAAAGACACGGATAAAGATCCCCCGCTTATTCTTTGGTTCTTTCGGTAAAGTCACGTATAAAGATAAAATAATAAATTAAATAATAGCATACTACGACGTTTCGATTGCAACACAAGCAATCATCATCAGATATAAAAGAAATAGCAACAAAAATCTAACCAGAAAACTATAGACAGACATATAAGCAGACAGACATCATAAAGATACACAGAGAGAGGACACGTAAACGTCGTAGTATGCTATTAAACGTCGTAGTATGCTATTATTTAATTTGTATTTTATCTTTATACGTGACTTTACCGAAAGAACCAAAGAATAATTCCTGCAGTCACGAAAGCTCCAAAATTAAGATTAATCCCCCGCTTAGCTTTGTGGACTGCTGCGGCAATAGCCGGTAGCGAGCAGCCAATACGGCCAACGTGTAACGAATGATGTGGGTGGTGCGATTCAGTTCCTGAAATAACTTCCAGCACGAGCAGCGAAACGTCGGATATCACGCCGAACCAAAAACACGCGGTACGAAACGGGAAACACAGCGGAGAGGTGTGTGCGGCAAGCTCTTGAATGCACGCGCAGAGACGCGAACGAGACGTTATGAACGTTGAGCTTGTTGAGGCATCGACAAATTGGGGCGCTGGAATTCCTGGCCCCGATCGAACAAAAAAAATCTACTGGTCAGGCTCAAGAATGGGAGTCGTGACGCGACTCCCTTGATGCAGCGCTCCGGAGGTAAGGACACGTGGATCGCACAAACAACTGAAGCTCTTCTTCTTGGTTCTTTCGGTAAAGTCACGTAGAAGGGAAGTAATAAAATAATAAAAATAAAACATAATAGAACAAGTCTCAATTTGTGAGAATTGTTTTATTATGTTTTTTTTGTGAGAATTGTTTTATTATGTTCTATTTTTATTATTTTATTACTTCCCTTCTACGTGACTTTACCGAAAGAACCAAGAAGATGAATCCCTGCAGTCACGAAAGAAGCTTTAAATCGAAACTGAAGCTCTCACAGACCCCTGGCCGAGCTGCGAGGTGACCGGCAGACGGCGGCAACACAGCAAAGTCGACGGAACCCACCACGTGCCGAGCTTTCGGTGTCATCCCCTCGCATCGCGTGGGGGATTCATCCAGGTGCTCCAGTCGCCTTTCGCACGAAGTCAAACACTCGGTCGTGCGATTGGCCAAACAAGCCAAGAGAACACCCTCCTGGAAAGGTGTCTTGTGACTCGCAGGGGTCCCCCCCCCCTCTGTGTACGAATATGCAAATAGGGCACGATCAAAGTCATTCGTCTGTGCCATTTTACAATCGCTTACAATACAGAAAACTGTCTAAGCGTTATTAATTATGTAGATGTTTGCGGCATTTTCGATGTCTCATGTAACATGGTTGTTTTCACCCTGATTCTGATTTGCTTCGCTGCCGTGTACTTTTGTTTTTGACTCGCTTATGTAATTTTTACATCCCACATCATGCACTCTTGCAAATGAGACTCATCCCGGCTAAACAAATAAACTTAAAACGTTGATATTAGATCATCCAATGCATACATACATATGTATCATTCAGTATATATAGTAAATATTGTAAGCCGACATTTGAATGTACATGTATAACCGTGAATCTCTGTTAATCTGATGGAGATGATTCACATTATCCATAATACAGGCTTTTTGGGTTAGAGCGCGTAAATATATAAATGTGTCGTTAAACCCGCCACCATCCGACACAGCCAATTAGTAAGGTATGGCACATAAACAGAACATGCCAATTCGTTACTAGTGCAGCACAACGGTATGTTGGAGAGCAAAGCCACAACATATACAATAAAAAAATTTGACGAAGTCTCATAAATATGATCACTGCCAATGTATGGGTAGAACACCGCATTAATTCGCCAAAAATAAATGTGCGCGGTGTTTAACGAATGGAGTTACGGTACTCTTTGGTTCTTTCGATAAAGTCACGGAGGTATAAAATAAAAATCAAGATAGGAGTTGCGGTGCTGTATATTCGCTTGCGGTTCGCTGTCTGTGCTCCAGTGACACGATGCGTAGGCAGGGTGTGGCTCGCCTGGCAGTATGCCCGGATGAAATGCACAAAGGCCACCACACCAATCACTTTGCCGCGACACCAAGGTAATGCCGATCGCCTGTATTTTTGTTTGCATTCCGACCACAAGTTTCGTGGTTAATGCAGACATGATTAGCCGAGATATACCAGACTCTGCGATCTTACATTTACTTGCGAATTACATCTCTAGCCCCGCCCACTTACCCTTGGGTTGTACCCTCTCAAACCGATACAACATTTGGCTGCAGTAGCTCTCTCGCTACATTTCTTCCTGCCTCAAGCAGTCCGCCTGCTGTATTTTTTCACCTGAAGACGATTGCTCGAAACGTCGTGATTTTTATTATTATTTTATATTTTTTTCTATCCACGTGACTTTACCCAAAGACCCAAAGAGTATGAATTCCTGCCGTCACGAAAGCTCTGAGTCAACATTAAACCCAGTTCGGTTCAATTCCCGAACAAACTGCCCCCACCCATCCCAACACGTGGAGCGAAACGTCAACACGCCGTGCCAAACAACACGAAGGAGCTACACTCTTAGGGCAAGTGCTGTTAGCGAGCAGCACCGATGAAGCCACAACCAGAGATCATATACGAGCTGTATCCGCAATGTGATACACGCGTCGACATTAACAACTGTTTCTAATCCTTGGTTCTTTCGGTAAAGTCACGTCGATTGAAAATAAAATAAAAAATAATAAAATTAAGTAAAATAAAAATTATAAATAATTAATTGA